CGAAGACTAATACATAGTGGGATTTGGGAACACAGTGGGGAATCTGGGGTTCAAGTTTGGACACATTAACTTCGGGAGCTCTGTTAGACATCCAAGAGGATGAACAGGCCATGAGATTTTGAATCTGGAGCTCAGGAGAAGGGTTGGAGTGGGGATTTAGAGTTAGGAGCCATTGGTGCATAGATGGGATGTAAAGGTGTGGGGCTGAGTGAGGTTACCCAGAGAGAGTGTGGGTAAGGGGACAGGGGAGGCAGGACCCAGGCCGTTGGGGTGTTCCAACATTTAGAGTTCAGCAAGATGCTGTGAGGGCCTACACCGTGCAGTGACATTCAGAGCCCACTCAGCTTCCCCTTCTTACTGCCTGCTTTTGCCCTCCCTGTTCATGCATCCTGGCAGTTTCATTCTCTTGGTTTTGAGATGAGCTCTATGGCCCCAAATTCACTGGCTGCATTTTAGCCATGTTTCTGAATGACTTGGAGTAGGAAGTAGAGTACCCATGGAAAATCCCATCTGCTGTTCTTATTCTCTACTTTCAGATCTGCCCCGTATACCTGGAGACAAGTAAGGCACGGATGGCTGCACGGGCCTGTCTTCTCTGACTCACGGTCTTCTTCCTTCCTCTGCAGCCCATGTCCGCTGAGGACATATGGCCAGAGCCGTCACTGCACCTGCACAAGCACTTGCTTTCACAGACCCATCTGTCTGGGGCTCACCTGGACACACCTGTTACCTTTTCCTTTGAAAAGCTGGCCATTGATTTTTCCCTTCAAAGCTTCAAATCTTACAGGAGAAACCTCTAAGGTATTTAACTGCCCCCAAGTGTCCACATTCCACATGGCTTTAGTCGGCCTGGATTTGATCTTCTGCTTGTGGATGATTTGTAATTTGGTGACATGAGACACCTTGGGAAGTAAGAGGTGGGAATGGCTGAGATGCCCGACTTCACTAATCACTTCTACCACCTGAGCCAGTGTATGGGAACTGACAGCAGACCTATTGAAGGCCTAGATGAACGTGGCATGTGGGGCAGGATGGAGGTTGGTTAGGAAATAAGGAAAAGTGATGGCTGGGGAACAATGTAAGTTACAACGTGACCCACAACATATTTAATGTTGCAAACACTTAATCAAATTCCCATTAGCCATTTATGGAAAAACTGGCTCCTTCACTGCAGCAAATATGTACACTTGTTTAGGACACACACACACACACACACACACACACACACCTTTGCCAACACCGGCTTCTTGTTAAATGTCTCACGTTTAGGATGAAAGAATATACAAGAACAGGAACTTTTTTTTTCCCCTTTTCTGAGCATGAAAGAGCTCCGTGCTTGTCGAATGTGGGCTGGCTTGCATTCAAACATAAATATGTACCAAAACACAATTCCCTCCAGCTCAAAACTGGGTTGCAAGAGAACCTTGGAATTGAATGAGCAGTGCCTGAATTTTTATCCCATTACTCAATGAAATCCCCACCAAGCTCAGTCTTACTCACTGTATAAAACTACTTAGATGACGCTTGAGCTTCTCTTTGAAGCAGTAGTTACTGGCGGATAGCTGCCTTATTCCCCTGGTTTGCTATCAAAACTGCTTCCCTTCATCTCGTACGCATTCTTCAACAGGCCTCTGTAAACCGCCATTTTCCACTTTTTAATCTGCCTGTTCCTTCCTCTCCATGTTTAAAATGTAAAGGCCGCTGGTATCTGGATACAATAACTTCCATTCTGTCCTTCCCAGTGCTCCCCTCCCGACTACAGATACAGCAGCTTCTTATTTCTTTTGTCTGCCTTTGCACTAATGACTGTCAGCCATTGGTAGTGGACTTGAGCTATCCCCAGAATAAAGGAACTTGGGCCCCAGCCCCAGTCCAGAGTGCTGGGGACCCAGGTCGTGACTTGATGATATTCACTATTGTTACCTGCAGGGGGATGCCTCAAGAAGTCAGAGAAGGTGCTTCTGTTATCAAGCACCCCAAACCCCTGTGACTCAGCCTATGTGCCCTTGGCTGTATATAACCTGTGCACCCCCCCTCAATTCTGCTGGGCCACCTTCGTGGGGGTGTCACCCAGGCCCTCCCATGTGCACCTGCAGCTACTCCCTGTTTCTGGCTTGCATGACTTATCACACATGGGCATGGGACTGGGAATCATCTATTCATTCCCTTGGATCCTCAGTCAGGGCAGGGGTGGATTCTGATTTACTGCTGCATTCTAGTGTCTCACATACAGACTTGCACATTCAGGCACTAAGCCTGTATTTGCTAAATTCCTGTGTTCATTTGGTCATTCATTTGCAAATATTTATGGCTTGTTTTATGCCAGACACTGTTTTAGGTGCTGAATAAATGAACAAATGAGCACGAGTGGGTAGAACTGCTGCTGTTCTCTCGGGCTGCTGTCACTTTGTGTTCCCCTTGAATTTTATTTTAAAGTTGGTTCACTTGGTTTATTAACAAACTAATTGGGTGTAGCAGGGTGTTGCAGTGGCACATGGTGAGATTTGGCTGTGTCAGGAGTGAGGGTCCAGTGGCACCTTTCTCCTTCAACTATCTTCTCATCCCCAGTTCCATGTCTGTGCAATCCCTATTTTATCCTTGTTTTTACTGGAAAAAGAACACGGGCCATATCCATGATTAGAAACGGGAAGATAGTGACATGTCTGGTGAAGTGGCAGAGTGGGAATGGGGAGGGATGAATAACAGATTACATGAACATAGCGTAGAGTCCAGGAGAGAGTGGCTCCTGTGAGGACACTTGAAGCTGACTGGCTCCACAGGTGGGTCTGAGGATGGGAGAGGAGGAGGGAGGTTTCGCTGAACTCTACCCTTGGTATCCACAGCTCAGCTAAGGTATCTCTCTAACAGAACAATACACTAAGGGGTGGGTGGATTGGACCTTTCCTTTTGGTCTTAGAAGTAGCTTATGGGGCTGCTGTTCAGCCACAAGGACATGAGCATCCATCTTTGGGAGGATGGACAGGGCACTGCACTGTAGAGGGAAGCAAGAAACAGTCTGATGCCTCATAGATTTGAGATAGTTCCTGGAGTCTTCCAGAAACACGCAAGATGGTGGAGGAACTCACAATAGGGACGGCCTGGTGGAACTGGCAGGGTTTAGTGAGGTAGTGGAAATCATCACTAGTGTGACTCTGACGCCTTATATACCCATAGATGGATGAAGACTGAGGGCTTTTTTGTTTCCAGGCTTTTTGGATGAATTCTGTTTACAGAAGCACCCGTCTCCAGGTACCTCAGCATGGAACCACAGCTGGTGTCTCGGGTCTTGGCTCTGTTCTCCCTCCCTATGGCCCATTTCACTGTCACTGGTGCCCTCATTCTATTCTGTGGCCCTCAGGCCCTCCTGAATGTGGCTACTCATGTGGGAAGGTTATTTTCTAACTGTTGAAAGTCTGTCATCATAGGGATTCTCTTGTCTTTTTTCTTGTTCTTTCTTTCTTTCTTTTTTTTTTTTTTTGAGACAGTCTCACACTGTTGCCCAGGCTGGAGTACAGTGGCGTGATCTTGCCTCACTGCGGCCTCCTCCCAGGTTCAAATGATTCTCCTGCCTCAGCCTCCTTAGTAGCTGGGACTCCAGGCACCCACCACCACGCCTGGCTAATTTTCATATTTTTAATGGACATGGGATTTCACCATGTTGGCCAGGCTGGTCTTGAACTCCTACCTCAGGTAATCCACCTGCCTCTGCCTCCCAAAGTGCTGGGATTACAGACATGAGCAACCATGCCCGGCCTCCATTGTAGGGATTCTGCCTTCCACATCTGGATCTAGACAGAGCATTTCTCACGGCCTTAGCATCCTCGTGACCAGGGCACATATTTTCCTAGAGGGTCCAAAGCATTAGCTCCTTTTTTCCCCCCCTTTCAAATGCAGATTCCCATGGAAAGGGGCTCCTCAGTACCAGTATCTGATTTGCCTTAATATATCATTTATCTTGGGTGAACTTCCAATTTAAAGGTGAAAAAGCATGGCTCACCCCCATCCTGTTCATCTCTATAATGAGCATTTCAGGCCAGCATGACAAATTGGAGAGAGAAGGCTTTCTGATGGGGAGACAGCTTTTATTGGATATTCTAATCCATATTAATGTGTATAGAAATCCCTGGGGATCCTGTTAAAATAAGGATCTTGATTCAGTAGGTGTGGAGAGGAAACTGAGATTCTTACTGTGAGTTCTAACAAGCTCCCAGGTGATGACACTGGTCTGTGGACCACACTGTGAATCACAAGCTCTTACATCACAGATGGCATCTATTTTTTGCACATTCACCTGGGCAAAGTTCTCTCCTCTGAACCTTTGATGTCTCTTCATGATTCAGGCAATGAAATCTCTATCCAAAATTGGGTAGAGATTTATTGGCTGTTTGAAAGAAGAATAGAAGTTTCTTATAAAGAGAAAGGGAGTCTCTCCCAACCGGAATTCAGTTGCATAAACCAAGTTTTGTGAATGATGTTCTTATTTTTCTACAACTGGTATTGATGCTGTTTCAAGAATTTTGCAGAGATGGCATGAGAACTGGTGGCTGTGTGTGGGGGATGGGGGTGGGGAATGGATGTTATTGCAGCCAGTAATGCACTGCACAGAAATCATCCCTTTAATCAGAGAGGCTTAAAATCAGGCCAGGGCATGAAGGTGGAGCAGAGTTATGAATATTGACAGAAGTCAAAAAATAAAGTCATTTGCAAAATCAGAGTGGGGACAATTTCTCTCTCCTTTCCTTTCGTTTCTGCATCAAGCTGAGCCTTGATAGTAGAATTTACCACTTTGCTGTGAGCCCAGCAGGCTGCCTCACCTCCATTAGCACAGCCAGGCACTGTTAGGGGTCATGAGTGAGAAGGCGAGTGGAAGTAGTTTGAGGTGTCTTTTCTTCCTTTGTGTTTGTTCCCCAGGGCATCCCCTGGGTGATGCTAGAAGATAACTTCTGGTCATTACTAAGCACTGCTGGTATCCCCTGCAGTCTTCGGCACAGGAACTCAGCCACTGGTTGGGGCACTGAGCTAGGCCCAATGAGGTATGCAAAAAAGAGAAAGCACTGATCCTTACCACCATGGAGCTTATAAGGTAGCTGCAAAAGGGAAGAGACACACTCCTAAGATCACTAACAACATCCAACAGGAAATAATAAGTTCCAAATGGGCGCTACGCACGGTAAGGATGTGGGCTGATTGGGACACAGGAAACTTTTAAATGAGGTGATCAGAAAGGCTTCATTGAGAAGGTAGTAATTGATTTAGTCCTTAAGGGGAAGGAAGAATTAAATAGTGCCTGGGAGGTTTGAGATGGTGCAGTTTCTAAGAACATCTTCTTGCCCAAATCCTTTCTGGGAATTTCTTAGGGAGGAGAGGAAAGCTGTGTTTTGATTTATTTTGATGATAGAAGATGCCAGTGGCTGGCCCTAATTGTGGCACAAGCACACTTTGCTAGAAGGTTTCTGTTTCTTACTGAATTCTACACAGAATCAGGTAAAGATTATGATACAGTTAAATTTCACCACCACTATTTTCTTAGAAATACGTTTTATGGAGAGATGCTTCCATTGGGCAGCGCAAATTTCTCTCCGTACTTCAGAAAACCCCTTAGCACCTGACTTCAGCTTGAAAAAATAGTCATTTATCTTTCGAACCCCAAGCATTCAATTTTAAACATTGGTAGAAATTGACTAATAATGGTAAAGCTAGAAAAACTCCCTCATAATCTTTAAAGAAAACAAAACAGTAGAGTCATTTTTTATTTTAAACTTGAAGCTTCGCATTTCAAAGTTTCATCAAACTGTCCCCCCTCCCCTTAATTTAAACCATTGTTTTCCAAGGGAAATTTAATAATAAGAGCTGCCATGTGTTTCTGCTTAATTTTGGAAGCCTGTGTTATGCAGTCAAAGATTCTCATTTGAAAATAATTCCTGTCCTTATTCTTAAACTGCCAGGGGAATAAGATTTAAAAAATATGTTGCAGCTCTCAAGTTTATGTTTTGCCTAAAGCCAGGCAGTGATGGGAGATCAAAGTTTAGAGTGCAGTTCTAAAGTTAGAACCACTGCCTTGCAACGTGCTCACAAATGGGGAGCAGGGCCCGGCAGCTGCCTGCCCAGGTCCTCCAGTAATTAGTCCTGGTGCAGGCAGAGGCCCCTGCCCCTCCCCTGGGCAGGTCCTAGGCCTCAGGGCCTCTGTCGCCTGGGAAGCAATCCCCACAAAGACAAGGCTGGCGTGGTATTTTTAGATCACATGTGTGCACTGTATAGGCCTCCTGCGTTCCACAATTTGCGTCTGAGAGGAGTGGGAATCAAACACCCTGCTTGTGTTTGCTGTCTGCTGGGCCTGTTGTTAGTGGGGGCTATTTGTCAACATGACAGACTCATCTAATAATGTTTGAGGATGGACAAACTGGGGCATGTTTGCTAGTCTCAAGTTGTCTCTTTTCTCTCTTTAAAAAGGAGTATGTGTGTGTGTGTGTGTGTGTATTTTTTTTCTCAAGCCCAAAGCCCTCCTCCCTTATCAAATCCCTAACATGGCTATTTTACACCTCAGTGGAACTGATTGTAGATTGTCATTTCTTTTTTTAACATTTATATTTTTGCAGAGATGGGGTCTCGCTATGTTGCCCAGGCTGGCCTCAAACTCCTGGCCTCAAGTGAGCCTCTGCTTTGGCCTCCCAAAGTGCTGGGATTACAGGAGCGAGCCACCGTGCTTAGCCTAGACTGTCGTTTCTTAGAGCACCAGAGTAACATTCAGGGGCAGCAGCAGAGCTCATGAAGGTTGTCTTCATCTCTATTTTCACCCTCTTGGACATTCTGCTTGCTTTTGGTCAGCAGGGCTAAAGGACTCAATTGTAAATTCAAATGTTAGAGTTCCGAAGTCATAGGTATCTAAGTAAGTGCATCTTTATTGAAAAGGTTCCAGCCTTGCACCACCGAAAATGAACTTGACCCACAACTACACTTTGGCCTAGCCTGAACATAACACTGAACTTTGGAAAGTTGGCAAATGATGACGGGAAGCCCAAGCCTTTTCCCCTTGGATGTGAGCTGATGGGATCCTGCTGACAGCCACGTGCTACAGTGCATTCCCCGAACTAGTGCCATCGAGGCTTCCCGTTGACTGCTGGTCCCCTGGCAGCTGTTCAAGGAGAAGCATCTGAAACAGCTGTCTATTTTCAGCTTGCCATCTCTTCTCAATTTCAGATAGAGGATTTTTACACAGAGTCCTGATTTTACAGTGGCTTCTAACTTTGCAGTCCTTGATACACTTTGTTCTGTAGTTGATAATAGGAAAAACAGGTGAACTGCTAAGTTTCGCTCAAGCTGTCCACTTAGCTATTTTTACTCTTGGTAAGCTGAATCAGCTCTCTGTATTCCTTTCCTAGAACAGAGACGATCAGCTCCTTTTGAACAAGAGGCAATAGGAGATGAATTCTCCATAGACGTCTTACCACTTCACCCTTGAAGCTTTTGTGCAGTGATTCAGGAGAAACAGACTCCTTTCTAAAAGTGTTCAGGGTTGCACAACCCCACAGGACAGCCTCACATCTCTCCAGCGGAAGTAACCCTGTTAGCCAAAGTCTCTCTTCTGGTGCTGGAAGCCAGGCCTAAACTCCAGTCCCAGATGAGAAATGGCACATTCTTTTAATTCTTCTCTGCCTCTTCAAGTGCCAGCCCTAAGAGCTGCTCTAGGTAGAGTCCTTTGAATTGATGGTGAAAAGGATTAAGACATTCGGGGCCGTTGGTATGGGGTGAATATATTTTGCATGTGAGGGCACGAATTTGGGGGTAGTCAGAGGCCTGAGTGTTAGGGGCTGAAGTGTGCGCCTTTCAAATTCATATGTTAAAGTCCTAACTCCCAGCACCTCAGAATATGGCTGTATTTGGAGATAAGGTCTTTAAAGAGGTAATTAAGTTAGAAAAAGATCATCAGGGTAGACTCTAATCCAATATAACTGGCGCCCTTATAAGAAGAGAAGATTAGGATGCAGATGCACACAGACAGAAGACCAGTTGAAGACACAGGGAGAAGACAGCCCTCTACAAGCCAAGGAGAGAGGTCTCAGAAGATCCTACCCCTACTGACACCTTAATTTCAAGCTTCCAGCCTCCAGAACAATGAGAAAATAAATGTCTATGTTTAAGCCACTCAGTCTTTGGCACTTTGTTATGGCAGCTCTTGCAGGCCAACACAGATTGTGGTTTGGTACGAGTCTGGTACAAAGCCACATCAGAGAGAGCTGTTAGACATCCTCATGCTAAAATATACCTGGATGCGTGTTGGTAGAAGATTGGGACTAGAACCTGTTTCATTTGTTATATTTCGTAAACCTACTTGTTTGGGGGAGTCATTTAAAAGAAAGGAAAAGAGATGATTGCACCCTAAGGACATGAACTTGTGCAGTTTTTATTGTGGAGGGAAAAAAACATGACACTACCAAACTGGCAATTTCTCACAATACCAGGTGCATTACAGATTGGTGTGTGGGCTTTTGTGAATTGGTTGCATATAAATGAGGAACATTTAAATAAAAAGGAGATCTAGAAACTTTCACTAGTTTTGGGCTTTTATTTATAGTTACTTATGCACAAAGCTTATTTCCCTTCCCATGTAAGTTTTGAGTCATGTCAGTCTAACGGGCTTTTGTGTAAGGTGCTATTGATTTCAGTGTGTAGACAGGGCACCACAACCCCGCCTGTATGTGAGAAACTGAGAGAAAGGGGAGGAGAAGATGGGAAATGCTGAAGAGAAACCTGGTTTGGCAGAGAGTGTGATTCAGTGGAAAGGGATCAGACTGATAATTAGAAGCCTGCGCTTAATCCCAGCCTAAGTAGGAAGCATCAAGGTGATATGTATACATTATTTCATTTTCTTGGACTATGTTGTCCTCAGCTTCAAAATGGAGGGCTGGTAGAGGAATGTCAAGGTCACTTCTCACTCTGGTTCTAGGAGTTCAGAAGGATGGGAGTGGGAGGGGGCATGACTTTTGGAGTGGGACCGCAGGGCCCTGACCTCCCATTCTGCCAAGGACATTGTCCTCACTTTCAACAGCCTCAGGGGCATCTCCCACAGGCACTTCCCAGCCTGGTGCCACTGCAGTCCCTCTGCCCACAGTACCCTGCTGGACCTCCTCTCCTCCTTTCCCTTCTCTACTCTGCTCAGATGTTTGGAGCTCAGTGTCACCTGTTCAGCTCTGGGAACTACTCACAAGGGGAAGTTTTTCATCCTGCAGTTTGGTTTGGGGTCTTATCCTCTTCCATTCCAGGAAGATAGGACTGAGAGTCACTATCTTGCATTGACTCGCTTCTCTCCCAAGTCAAGCTGCTGGAGTGTGTAAAGGAAATAACGTCCATAGCGCTGTGAGCACAGAGCAAGCACTCACATGTTAGCTGTCTTCCCCATCTACAAGGCTTCGGCACTAATGATCTACTCCATGTGTTGGTACTTAGTAGGTGTGGCCTCATTGGTGCCAAGGCAGATGTGTTGTCTTAGCTCCACAACCAGATGGCAAAATCCAGGGTAGGCTTGTGTCAGTCTTGATGTTCTGACTGCAGGCCAAGTTATTATTTTGTATTGTGCAAAGTAGGTCCTCAAAAATTATTGTTGATTGATTAGTTATTGGTTTGAAATCTTCACCAAGAAGCTGTGCCTTCAATGACTCTCTGGTTACAAGGACTCTTTTAAGATTAAGGCAATGTTATCATTTATTCTCGGTATTGATTGAAATTGGTCTCTGAGGCTTCTGATCACCTTCCTTTGCCACAGGGAAATTTTGAATTTACTCATAAGAGGCTCACACATATTAATGGGACATTCACTTATTTTAAAATACATGTGACAACATTTAGCTTGCATCTGAAACCAGACACTGGGTGTTAATTGTAGGTAAAATTGGCCTTTATCAAAACAGCCCCATTGCTAATGATGCTAGCAAGAAAACCGGGCTCCTTGGTGTAGCAAATTGGTCCTATTCTGATTTTTACTGGGAAGCAAACATTTTCTAGGAAAAATAGACCCAAATGAATGGAATTATAGGAACCCAATTAAGTTCATATGTTTCCAAAGGGTCATAAGAAATAAGCCCACAAAAGGAAAATGCTATTCAATGGAAATTTACAAAACCCATGAGTATGAGGGAAGTTTGGGAAGATCGATGTTCAATTAAGTTTCTCATA